GTTTGATGGTAAGTGTTGGAAGATAATGTGATTGGTAGGCATTGTTGCTTGTACCAGTTGATTAGCAGCCAACATTTTTCTGTTCTTCAGTTATCAGGGCAAGTGTACCCAAACTGGAGTTGGATGCTGTCTTTGAGCAGAAGAGCGACATAGCAAAAGCTGTTGAAGAGGAGCTTGCAAAGGTGGCACAATTATTATTATTTTTAATACCAGATTGACACAATTATTTAACTAAATAAAAGGGTTATATCTTTGCATGACATAGTTTGAGAACCGTCAATGTAACCATTTTCGTTACAGGCGATGTCTACTTATGGTTATGAAATAGTCCAGACCCTTATTGTGGATATTGTGCCTGACGTTCATGTGAAGAGAGCAATGAATGAGATCAATGCAGGTAACTTGAACTTACATGTATATATGTACTTGCAGCATTTGACGAATTACTTATTTGTTACGAATACATTCAGGAGAAAAAAAATTCGGACGCATTGTTCTGAAATTTCAATCTGTAAGTAGGTAATTGCTCAGTTTATGTGTTTCTCTATGTGTCACAACAGCTGCAAGACACAGGTTGGCAGCAAAAGAAAAGGCTGAAGCAGAGAAGATACTGCAGATCAAGCGAGCTGAAGGAGAGGCAGAGTCCAAGTACTTGGCAGGGCTTGGCATAGCCCGCCAGCGCCAGGCTATTGTTGATGGGTTGAGGGATAGTGTTCTTGTCTTCTCTGAGAATGTTCCTGGAACATCAGCCAAGGATGTCATGGACATGGTGCTGGTGACTCAATACTTTGACACCATGAAGGAGATTGGAGCATCCTCGAAGTCCTCGTCTGTTTTCATCCCGCATGGGCCAGGTGCTGTGAGGGATGTTGCTTCACAGATTCGGGAGGGTCTCCTTCAAGCTGATCATGCTAAGGAGTAGAAGGGATACTTGAAACTCCTAATATGCAAAAATTTTAGTATTGAAGAATAGGTTGTTCTTGTTCACTGCTACTCATATGCAAAACTTTGTTATGGTTTTCTCCTCTTGGTGATAGAACACAATTAATGGTTACATTATGTAGTAGATGCGGTTGGAGGATATACCACTCTAAAGTAAAATATATGCTGCTTTGAATTAGCCTGTTATTTAGTCTGTTTTCATCTAAAATCTCATCTGTTTCCTGCACTCGGATGAAAAGGAAGTTGCTTTGCATCAAACAGCACCGGAGTTTTTTAGTTTTTTGATGTAAAATATTTTCCTGCTAACGTGTAATTAGCTCTCAATTTTCTATCCACTGCTAAAGGCAAAAAACTTATAACTGAGATTGCACTGTTTTACTATCCTAAACCAATAACACAATGACACGTGAAAAAAATATCCTACATGTCATTGCGTTATTGACCGGGAATAGCAAAAAGTGATTGCATGAGAGTTTCTCCACAGAGAGATGTTGCACTTGAATTGTTCACAATCAACCATCTCCATCGAACAATTTGTCCCCATATTCTGATTTGTTCCACCAATTAAAGTGAAAAACGGCTCACCACAACCAATTGCTTGCCCACCTTATCCCTGATTGGACACCACCTATCCACTGTCCTAAAATCATCACAGAATAAAACAGACACATTCCAAATGTTCCTAATTCACAAACACGCATGAGTAGCCCAATAATACGAGCCTTTCCAATTTAAAAACTAGGTGCACCAGTAAAATGACAGATGCAAAACAAAGCTGCAAAGATCAATTATGGGAGGAAAAGAAAAAGATTAATGAAACACCCACCAAAATGGGGAACAAAGTTAAAAGTCTACCTCTCCACTAACAGGCTTCATCATCCTCTGTCTGTTAACAGCAATTAAGAAACGTAACAAAATACGTCTGATACCATCAAATTTTTATTTTTACAGACCAAAACCGCCAAAATGGAATGATTCCCCTAACATATGGACTTGTTTCAAGAAAAACCAACATTTGGAACCAAAATAAAGTCGGGCTGGAAAGAAAACTATACTATCCCTCTACCCCTGCTCCCTGCAACAGTGAGCAATAAGCTCACTCATGGCTTGAGAGCAAGAGCCAACCCAATCTTGGCGGTCTTCTCAATGGCTTTGGTGTCTACCTCTCCTGAAATAGTGACAAATGATTTTGGACGCCACTCATGCTGGATAAGGGCACTTGCCTTGCCAAAATTGTTCACTCGTGCCTTTAAAGTCGTCAATGGATCCAGGGCATGCTGGGTGCCAAGAGTGATGGTATTCTCATTGGTAGGAAATCTATGGGTCACCTCAGCACCAACAGCTGTGTTAGCAAGGGGATTGACATTGTGATAGTAGGATGCACTGAGGATGTCACCTTTATCATTCCTGTACCATGAAAAAAAAATATAGATGTATCACACAATGCACCAACAATCCAAGACGTAAGCCAAAACAGCACCAAACTGAGTACATCTGATTTAATGCATTTAAGACATAATTATAGAGATTTTTTTTCTTTTTGGAGTGGGGAATGGAAGATTGAGGCTCTTATGTATGACGATGACAAGGCAAATGTACGTAAAATCAATAAGCCCTCTTTGACAAGCAAAAGAATATACTTACAGGGTCAGTGCAGCGATTAGGTCTGCATTGGAGAAGCTCACTCCAGCATTACATTTAGTCAAGTTCCCTGTCTTGGTGTCAAATGACAGATCAGTACCAAGTGCAAGTTGATTAGTTCCTATGACACCAGAAAAGTTAACAATAGGGTTTGCTGTCAACCCAACGCTGGTACTTATCCCTGCATAGTCATGCAAATACTGGAGTTCCACCTGTTAACAATCACTCACAAATTAGATACCAATTTTACAACTGATCCTGATAAATGAAATCCTCCAATAATCGGAGGAAACAGCATCCACCAACATTTTCTACTGCATATTCTCCAACTTAAAAGACAATGGAATGAAATTTTAATTTAGCAGCATTACACAAATGAAAAACTTCCTACCTTTCCAGACCTCTGGTCAGGAACTTTGAAGCTAAAGATTGCCTTCAATCCAGGAGCAGGTTGATCAACCGTAACAGTGGTGGAAAGCTGATAACAGAACAAACCTTTGGTAAACTGATCAAAGCAATAAAATGATGATCATAGCTAAGAAAATGTACTAGAGTTGATCAATTCCTTTATAGCCCAACAATCATTCTACTGGATAGAGAAGGATCAACACAAAACAAAAACAAAATGAAAAAATAACCCAGTTACATATATTAACAACCTTAAAGAGGTGACTAAAACAAGATAATATCCAGAACTAGCGTTTGTTTAATGCATCACAACACATTCAATGGGAGCTGGGTATGAGCAAAAAAGAGTGATATGGAAGAAAAATAATGGAAGTAGCAATTACATTCGAGTCGGTGTCAACTTTGATATCAGTTGTGACATTCTTGTTCTTCAACTGGGTGTTAACATCAGCCAGAAACAGCTCACCTTTCTTTGTTCCTGAGGATGTGATAGCCTGCAGATATGAAGCAGTAATACATTGTCAATTTAATGCATATAATGGTTAAACAAAGGGGAAATTATTCGGTGCCTCAAACTAAACAGTTACAAACTCAGTGCTGCTACATTGAGTTTTGGTGAGCATTTAAATTCAACAAAGTCTAGCTAAGCAAGCCAAAATAGAATTACCACACATGACATTGTTTAAACCCCCAAAAGATCACAGTCAAATTCAAAATAACTAAGAAGAATAGCATGCCAGGTATACTCATGGACATTTCGATATATAAACTGCAACAAAACAATAAGTAACACTTATTGCTTAAATGTCACCAAGACCTTTCCCAAATACATTTATAATTTCAAAAAAAAAAAAAAGTGGGAAAATTTAAATTTACCCAGATAAAGTACTATACAGAAACTGAACCATATTGTTAGAGGTTTCGCTTGGAGCCCAATGGTTCCTCCTCAAGTCCAATCTCATGGACTAAAATTATGAATAGGAGCTAAAATACACACGAGAAACGAAACCCTAGAGCTTGAACAAGTGAATATACATAGACAAATACAGATCTCAGAGTAAAAAGAGGGAATGAACTGACCACTCCGGTGGGAGAGTAGGTAGTGACGGTGAACTTCTGGTCGCTCTGGTAATCCTTGTACAGAAGATCTGCCACACCAACAATAACATAAAAGAAGTTTTAACAAAAACCCATCAATCAAAAAATTCAACAACAAAATTTATATATATATATTGAAAAAGGGAGACCTCTGGCTTTCTTGCCGATGTCAGTGTAAAGACCAGGACCGACCATTTTGCCCAGCAAAGATTGAATGAGCAAACAAAGAAAACGCGAAGGGATTAGCTTTCCCTGTAGCTCTGAGAAGCGGAAGTGAGAACCGAACACAGAGATGGGCGATATATAAGGGGACCAAAAACCCTAAATCACACCAATTTCAATTTCACCTTTCTTTTCGGCGAGTTTTTCATTTCCTTTTTTATTTCTCAATTACACGTGGGCCGTCGGATCTCGCTCTTGTTACCGTTGATTTTCTATTTTCATTTTCATTTTTTTGGTTTTTTTATAGATTAATACACGTGATGCTTGGCGTTTCGGCCAAGCTAATTTTACTTAGTTCATTTTACCAAATTAGCCTTTTATTCTTTTCCCAAAAGTAAAGGACTTTGAAATTGATTTTTTTTTTTGGGGGTCAATATATTGCCAAATGATTGTGAATTTGTAACTATCACAACAATTATATAAAATAAAAATATAAAAAGTTGGTGGCAGTGAAAGTGACAGCACAAGTTTGTAGGTTCTAGAAGATTGGACTGATATTGCGAAAATTCTAGAGTTTTTGTATAATTAAATCTGGAAATATTATTATTTTTCTGTTACATCTTGAATGAACAATCTGAATTACATGCCTCTAATTTCACTATTGAAGCATTTACTTTGTTAGTTTTTTTTAAATAAATACACTCATGTATGTAATATTTTATATATAAATACATATAGGAAACATATCAGCCATATTACATGTCAAACAAATTCTAAATAAATGAAACGATCCTCCTCCCATAATCTACCCTCAACAATTTGACCACCATTTCATGGGGGTTCCTCAAATCTGTTATCTTCATGCTGAAACTGCAGAGTTTATAGTCCCAGTAGGAAGTAGTAGGCCAATGCTATTGGCAAGGCAATGAGCATCCCAAATATAACCCTGCAACAAAAGAACAGAACCAGATCAGTTGAGTCATATCATATGCATGACTTTTATAATATGAGATGATGAACGAGATCAAAACTTACCCGGTGCTCAAAATGTCTGGATGTACATTGTATTCTTTCGCGAAAACGAATGGAACGATTCCTTGAGGAAGAGCTGCCTGCAGCAAACAACACAGTATTCAGCCTTGTGTGTCTGTCTACCAAAGACTATGAAGAAAACCAAATATATATATATGCACCTGCACAATTGCCACTCTTAGAATTCTGCCTCTTAGTCCAACTGCAAAGGAGGACACTGCCATTAGCGCAGGCCCGGCTATGAACTTCAATCCCATGGCTAGCATCCCCGTTCGTGTCCCGCATGCTATTATGCTGCCACGCGATGCCATGAAAAGGCCTATTAAGCAGCACAAATTAATTCATGTCCTAAATCTGAAGGTTGTTTTTCAAATATCATGGCAGGTAATTAGGAATTACTTCATACCTAAGCTGAACATTGCCATACCAAGTCCTCCATTTGACAGTATTGCAATTGATTGTGTGACAATATCTGGCAGTTTCACCCCCCACCTGCAACGGATTATTAATCAACACATTGGTCTTGCTTCTTAGTAACAAATATGCATAGAAATGAACCATCAAAAGTGAAGAAAGTTATGCCTAGCTGCCAATATAAACCTCATGATGGGTACCTACTTGTAGTGTATGCTTGCCCAAATTAGACCCAACAATGTTGCATGTGTGTTGGGGTTGGTTATGAGCTTCCTCCCAACTGTTAAGAGAATAGATTTGATTTTCTTAGGAGTTCTGCTTCTTGTTTCATCCTCTGCTTCCTCTTTGGATTGTGCTTCTTGAGGGACTTCCATCTCCTCTTTGAGTACAAAGCAGACCAAAATTTTGCTGATGTGAGAATATGTCAACATAATTTGATATTAAGAAGTGATGCATTTTGTATGTTAGAAATCAGAATTCTTAGGGAGAATGAAGTGTAGCTTCCACATATAAATGTGGCCATTATAGTTTATAGGAAAAAGCTTCTGATATTTGTTGATATCAGAATAGTATTTCAGACCTTAATTATCTATGCTAAGATTCCAGTTGAAATCAAGAAAAATCTGAATTCGGTTCAGGACCCCAAAAGAGTCACAATAGGTTAGTGAAGTTAGAGGAACAAAATGGAAACTGACTCAACTCAACCATTTGTGTTTTAGTGAGTGCAGATTACAATCCAGGAAAAGAGGGGTTTGTGCTGTTGCAGCCGCACGTGTACGATATTTGTGATGCTTTTTTGTCATACTATAAATTTAAAATGCAATCTTTGAATGCTAACCTGCAGTGGATTCTGATGAAGGTGTCACAGAGGCTGCCTTAGCAGCCCTGAACTCAAAGAGAAACAATAACATATTGTACCAGATTAAGCTCTGTAACACAACTATCTGAGTAACAAGCATGGCTGCTTCATCCCCATACATGGCCTTTAACAGAGGAATTCCCAAGATTAATGTGTTAGGCATAGTTGACAGAGAGAGACCGGTTATGATCGAATTCAAGCCTCCATGGGAGCTGAATTTAGTGATTGCTGTCAATGCTAGAAAAGCAATTAGTTTTTGTAGGCAGTCAGAGAGAATGAGTTTGAGGTTCATTTTGTAGGGGTTATTCCCAGAAATCACTTGAAATGACAAGAGAGGGATTGAGAATTTTGCCACAAACTTGTTTATGCCAGAACATTGATCTGGTGTGAAGAGCTTCCACCATTTCACAGACACATAGGCTAAAATCATGGCAACATATAGAGGGACAGTGGCTGCCACAACATGATAGACATCAGCTAGAGAAATCATGGTGGCTCTAGCGGCTGAAGAATCGAAAATATCTAAAACTGTTTCTCCATTCTCGGTGATGAACTCTTCATATGCTGCTTATAAACAAAAAAAACAAAAACACAAGAAAACCCTTTGTTGTGCTTGTTTGTTGCTTTGTAAGATATGAAAAGTTAAGGAGAGAATGCTTGTTTCTGTAGAATCTTTATTAAAGTTTTATTTAATCCCCAGAATGACCTTAGACACTGATTGTTTGTCTCAGGGTGAAAACATGATTATTGCCTTTCTATTTTATCTAGTAGTTAAAAGAAAACATTGCCAACATGCTAAATGTACATTAATTAACTTTTGGTGCATGCTTTATTCCCTTGTGTGATGCTTAAGTTTTAACTAACTATATAAACAGTAAACAAGGTCAGCCTGTGATTATAAGAAGATTAATCTTAAATGAAAAGTCAGGGTATTTTTGTCATCAAATACAAAAGGTAGATTCCAGTTTAATTTCTTGTGGCCATGTTCTTTAGGCAAAGTAGAGCTATATAGCTAGGCTGACATGGCAGCTCTGAACCCTTTTCTGGGTGTGATTTTACCTTTTGAGTTTATAGTTTTTCGCTATTTTAGAGAGCCGAAAGGGATTTTATTTGCCATGATTTTATTTCTTCACGATTTTGAGCCGAAAGGGTACCCCAATGGTTGTAAATTATGAGTATGGCTGGGTTTCTTTGGAGGGTTTTCAACTGTAGGAAGGAAGAATAAAGGAGTGTTAGAATAAGTGTTGTGGGGGAATTTGCTTTTTAAAATGGGAAATTTTGTTTTCTAAAAATGAAGTGATAATATCTCTTTCTTCAACTTGTCTTTGAATATTGAGATCCTGTTTGTTCGATCTATTGTTATCATCAGAGATCATCACATGAATGCACAATGGAAAAACTTTATACATCTGAAAAGTAGGTGAATATTAATATATCTCTGCTGTAGTGCATTAACATATTCCTTCCTGCAGCATATTGTGGCAACAGCTAGCATATATCCTGGTGCTGGTGTCTGCAAATAAAACCTTATGCAGCCCTCAAATTTATATAATTATACAAATATGCAGCTTTTTGTGGTTTTGGTTTTCAGTGGAAATGAAATATATGATCCCTTTTTTTTTCTTCTTAAAGTGCTTCTTCGGGTTCGTTTGGGAGTGATTCTGGATATGCCAAAATCACTTTTGGGAAGAAGCACCTCCCACGCGATATCATTCTCCATATATAATCACTTAAAAGTGATTATTTGAAAAAGTAATTATTGGCCTATCTAGAATCATTCCCAAACGAGCCCTAATTTAGTGCATCTAAGATTCTCTGTTAGCATACACTGACTAATTAAAGTGCAATTTGCAATTGAATGTGATGAAGGGTAGCAAAGGAATAAATTGGAGTACCCCATCAATGTTCTGTTCATTGAAGGAAGGAATGTCTAATATGCTCTTTCTGTGTAGGTTAGAAAAGGCAATTAATTATTAAACTGCATTGTTTTTAGCTACATGGTCAGACAGATTTGACCAAGACCTTACCAAGACCAAATTCCTCATTGGAAAACCTTTTTCAAATCTCTATTCTCTTATGTGTAATTCTAAGCTAAGTTTCCTTTGCTTTATCTTGCACTAGAAAATGAAAAGGTGAAGCAGAGTCCAAGCCAAAGTTATCTTTCTCAGAAAGGGTGCCTAATTTCACATCAGCAAATTGGTCTGCTCAAATTCTTTTGACCATGTAGCTGAAAACAAACCAACTATTTTCTAATTTAACTCAAGAATTGGTAAATATTTTATAGTGTTTTGTGGATAGGATGAGCTACACAAAAAGAATGGTTATAACTAAAAAAGCAATTATAACCCATAATTACTTAATTAAGGACATGCTAATTAATACTTGACTGTGGTTGATTATTAAACTACTGATTCTGTTACCATGATGAGCTCAAACCAGTTCAATTAGCCAAAACGTCATTGGTTGAAAGAAGATGGTTCCCCATCTTCTGCGCCCTCCTAAATTTAGACACTGGTTGCATTATAAAACTCCAAATTTTCATTCTGCTCAAACCAAGCAATAAGCAATATATAGTATTGCAAGTACTTAGCAGTTTAGCCTCGGTTTCAACCAATTTTTAGTTTGGCAAGGTCTGGCTGGGCTGAATCTGAGACCCCGGTGCACAGCTGGGCTCAATCACATAGACCTTGACCATATCTAAGAAAATTATATAAAAGAAAAAAATTAGATAAAAAAAAGTTGAAAGAAAAAAAAAAGGGCCAAATTATACTTGGATCAATGGCGTCGAAGCTAGATTTAGTCCTTTTCATGATTTCTTTCTGCATACTGGTTCCAAGCCTGAGAGCATCCATTGCTAACGACAGCAACGTTGGTCAGTTTGATGCTGTCTGGAAGGAACGAGAGCTGAAAGCTGAGAAAACTGCCCTCAAGGCCTATCAACGCAACCCTGAAAAAGTTACCGACGACTTCAACGAAAGTGTTCAAGAGTAAGTCAATTCATTATCATCCACCATCTCCATTTTATTATTATTATCATCAATTTTGTATCTTATATATAAAACTATTTGTACCATTAATTTTAACTTATATATGTTAACGTAAGAGGCTTGTAGCTCAAGTACCATGCACCCCAGTTTCTGTCTTCGAATCTTCCGTGTCCAATATCAATGTTAACGTGATCATGCATGACAATGCAGGGTCGATGATTTAAACTTTGAAGATGATGATCAGGTAAGCAACATCACAGGGAGGCATCTACTGGGGAAAAAATACAAAGGGCCCTGCAAGGCCACAAACCCAATCGACCGCTGCTGGCGATGCAGGAAGGACTGGGCCAACGACCGGAAGAAGTTGGCCAACTGCGTGAAGGGCTTCGGGCGCAGGACACGTGGAGGCAAGAGAGGAGAATTCTACGTCGTCACCGACCCTTCCGACAGCAACGTTGTCGAGCCCAAGCCAGGGACTCTCCGCCACGCCGTCATTCAACCGCAGCCGCTGTGGATCATATTTGCACGCAGCATGACTATCAGGTTGACGCAGGAGCTCATAATGACGAGCCACAAGACAATTGACGCACGTGGGGCAAATGTGCACATTGCTCATGGTGCTGGGCTCACGCTCCAGTTCGTCCAGAATGTCATCATCCATGGGCTTCACATACATGACATTGTTCCGGGAAGCGGAGGCACGATCAGGGACTCTGTGGACCACTTCGGGACCAGAACACAGAGTGATGGAGATGGGATTTCCATTTTTGGGTCGTCTCACGTTTGGCTCGACCATCTGTCTATGTGGAACTGCGCTGATGGGCTCATCGACGTCATCCAAGGCTCCACGGCCGTCACCATCTCCAACTGCCACTTCACCCGTCACAATGACGTACGACACAACTTATTATTTATAGGCACTCCAAAAAAATCATCATATATAGAGAATGCAAGGTGAATTTAATTATTAATGATAATGGTGGATGCAGGTGTTGCTGTTTGGGGCGAGCGATTCGTTTGCAGGGGATGCGATTATGCAAATTACGGTTGCGTTCAACCATTTTGGAAAGGGATTGGTGCAGAGAATGCCAAGATGCAGATGGGGATTTATCCATGTTGTGAACAATGACTATACACACTGGCTTATGTATGCCATTGGAGGTAGCTCACACCCAACTATTATCAGCCAGGGTAACCGTTTCATAGCCCCACCAAACCAGGCTGCAAAGGAGGTACGTGTCAAAGTTCCATTTGTTCCATTTGTTTTGAGGAGGAGCAAAATGAAGTAATATATGTCACTGATGAATTTGATGTTATAGGTGACGAAGAGGGACTATGCGCCGATGGGTGTGTGGAAGAATTGGCAATGGAGATCAGAAGGAGATCTCATGTTGAATGGAGCCTTCTTTGTTGAATCTGGAGTTGCTAAAAAGAACCATGGATTTGGAAAGCTGGACATGATGACTGCGAAGCCAGGCACATTCGTTTCAAGGCTCACACGCTTTGCAGGTACACTTGGTTGCAGGGTTGGCCAAAAATGCTAGAATTCGTGAAATTATGCCCGCCGGAAGCTCAAGTGTGATCGATACTCAAGTGCCGATGAAGAAATAATGTTGATCTAATTTCTCTACTTGTCTTGTTTTTTTTTTTTTTTTTTTTTTGTCTTTTAATCTAAATATGCATTGCAAATCCAAGGGTTATCTTGGAGTACTATTATACCCTAAGCAATAAAAAGAAAAGATAACCCTTCGATTTGTACATACAACTCGGATTGAAGGTCAAATAAAGTCGACAAAACAAGTAGAGAAAATAGAATAGAAATGTTGTTACTGTTTATTTTGTTTAAATTATATCTTTAAACATTTGGTTTCTTTTTCTTTTGTAGTAGGACATGTATATGTATTACCAGGCTTGATATGCCTTTAAATAGAAAATATTTATTACATCATGTTCTATTGCCTGACCATGACAGACGAAAGTTCGAGAGATTTTATACTCTTCTCTTTTTTTCTTTTCTTTTTCATTTTTAAAATGTATTATCTGACCAAAAAAACAAAAACAAAAATGTAGTATTAAACTGGTAATTGTAAACAATTGAAGAAACGTGTAGCTAACCCAACAAACACTAATCAGATCATACAGCTTCTAAATGAAAAAGAGTGACTGGAAATTTCTTGAAAGAATATCTTAGTAAAAAGGGGCCTCTAATTTCCCATGTATAACATTTCACATTTTGGAGGAGAGAGTGGATATTAATAAATTATGTTAAATTTGGTGGGAACTGAAGAGTAGGAATGAGAGTGAAAACAAACTCAATTAAAGAGAGATTCAAGCTTCTGTACATGTAGCAATGCATGTTGAACAGGGCCATGCTCAAAGTATCTGAAACTGAAACTAGTTTTCTTGGCACCCAAAACAACGGGGATTTTCAGTTTATGCCCTAATTAGCTCATCATGTATGACGTTAACCAAACATGATACAAACATGCTCCATAATTATAGATCCTACAATACAAATTAGCCAAATGAAGTACATTTGAACCAAAAACTGGGCTTTACTTCCATTTTCTACCTTAATCTACCCGCTGTCAGATTCGTTCCCTGAATCTATATTCATGGGTTGGGGGTTCTTGTAGCCACTAATTTCATCCTTGTAGCGTAATTTATCTTGACGAGCCTTTGCTTCATAGGGTTCTTTCTCCTCCACTGCAAGACAGAAAATATGGCACAAGTTGTAAATGGCAGATTTTATAAAAAATGCTGTGGAAGCACAATATGTAATTTTCGAATCATGCATACCTGACATCTTTTTCCACTTATCTCCAAGTACTCTCCCCACGTCGGTAAATGCAATTCCGGGGTTACTTTTCTTTACATTCTGTGGTCAACAAAAACATAGTCAACAGACTATTGCGCAACAGAGATAAAATTAATCCGTTTCATCAACCTGAATCTATTAGCAAACACATCTTCCCATACCCAAACCAAACTTAGTACCATAAGATATAGATAACAAACCCACCTCTCTCTCCATTTGTGAGAAAAACATGAAACCAGACATTGCTCTTTTTGGTGCATTTGGATCCTTTTTCTTTTTCTGCTTTTTCTTCTTTGCACCATCTTCACCTCCATCTTTGGATTTTTGTTTCTTGGAAGATGATACCTTGGAAGTTGAAGGTTCCTTTCTAGGCTCCTTTTTTGCAGGCTTCTGAAATTGGCCATTCATGTTAAATGGGATACTATATATAAGATTACATTATAGCCATCTTTAAAGATCTAAGCAAATATAATTAATAAAATGACTTGCCTCTTTCTCAGCTCCACTTTCACTAGCATCTGAATCATCCTCCCCAGAATCATCAGTAGGAGAACCTCCATCATCCTTATCAATAACAAAATCTTCATCCTGCCAAAGTTCACCATGTTTAACACACTCGGACTGGAGAATCACAGGACACTCAAAAATGGTGGTGACGAAACCAGAGTAGCATGTGAACACAAAAGTGCACTTGTGTAATGCACACACAGATGTACGAAACAACTAGGGCTAACTACACACACAGACTACTAGAGGAAAATGGTCATAAAAATACAAATTTTGCACAACTTTCTTATAAAAGGCAAATTCTAAATCAAGTGATTGGACAAACTATAGAAGAAAGCATTTTATACATAGCAACAGGGTCAACAGCATCATCACTCTCAAAAGAGAATCAGACAAAAGAAGAAAAACACCAACATAAAGAAAATAAGATAGAAGTAACACCTCTTCATCACTCTCATCACCACCAGCTTCATTCTTCACACGGACAAGGTGTGGGTCAACAGCATCATCATCTGCCTCTTCAAGAAGAGGAGCCACACCATCTGCTGTTTGGCCTTCTCCTAAGTTCATGATCTTGAGACCCTTTGAACTGCATGTGTGCGAAAATGTCAAATTTTGAATTCCAACAACCAATGACCTACAGTGGAAACTACTTGGTATTCATACTAACCTGATGAAGTCAAAAAGATTATGATATTCATTCCTCTGAATGTTTCGAAACAGGTGTTCTTGCTCACTTTTGAGTCTGATCAGAAGATCAAAATAGTGCATATTTGAGCCTCCAGCGCCATGCCTCTCAAATTCCACATAGTCAATCTAGTATTAGAATGAAGAAAAAAAGTGAGATTCCAAGTAACATCAATCAGGTTTTGGTTAGACCAGCAATATAGTCTCAACGGATGCAAATTCTACCTGATCATGAAGAATAAGGGTGGGAGGTTTAGGTAGGAAAAAGAAGCTCTTTTCAAGAGGATATAGAACTCCATCTTCAGCTTTCAATGAAGATTTCACGGCATAACCATCTTGACAACTACGGAATTTTCCCGGTTTCGTAACTTTGGCACCAGACAAGCCACGCAATATTGTGGTGAACACTTCATGAATTAGTCCCTGTTTATTTGAATAAAATAAAACAATAGTAGCTCATGTTAACTGGCACACTGTCGTTAAACAAATGAAACAACTGTTAGTTACATTACAAGCTTCAGAAGATGAGAAGGAACTATCTTACCTTGTAAGATAGTTCTAACTTGTCCTTGTACTTGGTGTTCATAAGTTCTTCGCTCATTGACAGCTCGCTTTGAACCACATAGTCAGTTTCAAACTATACAAGATAGAAGAAGTCAATGAAAGGAAGCAATTATGGAAAAACTTAAACTGATGATCATAAACGTAATGAAGCACACGATACCTGCAAAACAATATGAGGGTACAATGTTTGCCCCTTCCGGATAGGTGGATCAAGAGTAACAACAACAAAGGTATGTGGCTGGTTAGACTGCACAAAGCAAAGAAGAATCCGTTATAAAATATTCAAAGGACACATTAACTGACTACAAGAATTGAGTAAATATGACGCTGATAATCCTTTCAGCCCCCCTTGAAGTGAGAACTCAACTAATGTACATCGAACAATGTCATAGGTGTTTATATAAACATGTACAACAGAACCTTTGAAAACAGAACAAGTGAACAAGTAATATTAGTGCCCAAGATAAAACCTTAGGAAGAAGAAACAGTCGAACAACACTGCTGTACTGAATTTTAAAATCATTAGCCTGTCCTTGTAAGCGCAAGAATGAAAGATGAAGTTCCACGCTGTAGCGACCCCTGCATTAAGCAAATACTTCCGTTAGCCTGGCACTAGCAGCATATGACATAGAAGCATAATCTAATACAAATGGCAAGCTAGTCTAGTGCGGATGCAAGTAGGTGCAGTATCCCTGGTATTCTCATTAACATCTACCTTGGTGTGAGGATTGCAATACTCTCAAATGTGACAACAGCATCTTCACCCCCAGCACCAACATCCGCCATAGACATGATTTTGTCACGAAAAACCTACAGAACATTGAATCAGAAGTGATTCAGTAAATCAATCGCAAGATCAATACTAAAAGACCTAAAAAAGTCGTATCACATGACATGAACAAACTCACTTGAGCAGGGGGACGATTCTCATCACCAACAAACTGAGTGTTGGAGTTCGGTATGTGAAAACTTATTTCCATCAATGAATCTTTCTGTGATCAATAATATAAGTGTAAACAAAAATGAAATTATTAGATTGTAACTGAAAACCTAAACCTTTTGCTAAACAGGTGTTATATTTAATTCTGGGTATCTATAGAATCACTGTATAAAAACCTACTATCTTTATAAATATAAAAACCCACAAATATAAGCAACAAACCTCATTAGCTCCTGTGGTGTCATCCACATGGAACTCTAAGATGACATCATTTTTTCCCTGAAGCTGAGTTTGTGAAACATCAGCCAAAGATACCTCAAATGCTTGCTTAGTGTCAACCAAGAAAGTCAGCATGTTCCCTGCAAAATAGCAAAAGAAGAACTGAAAATCACTCAAACTGGCACATAAGACAGTGTACTGCCTTTAAGGAACCAAATATACAACCAAGATTGTCACATCATCACAGAAGAAATCATACATGGACGAAAGTAAAGAATTTCAACAGAACTGCGGAAGACCATTCATTAGGATACCAAGCAGGTACAAAAAAGAAATGTCCAGGCTCTGTAAGACTCCTAAAGGACATAAATGATGAATTGAAAAAAGAAGAAAACAAAGGAACCAACTTCAAGCAGACTCAGCAGAACATTTTGCTTAAGAATGTAGCAAGGTGGAAGCATTTTCCCAACTTCCATCCTATGAGAAACAATCCACAACAAAAAAACATAACCCCCCATGGAAAAACCAATTTACAAGAAACAAGTGAATCATAACCAATGAATGTGAGAAAGATAAAATAAGTGATAACAAATTAGTTGAGGTAGTCAACTTGAATGGATGAAAATATCACTGACCACTTAAATCGACTTCTCCCCAATTACGTCCGCTTACAGAAAGCTGCTTCTCCTCTGGTGTTAATCCGCATGTATTTTGGAAATAGTTGGTCAAACTAGTGACATCCTACAACGCAAGCATAGAGGAAACGAGCCAAAAATTAGCAATTTGTTCACATCCCTGCACAACATTATTGACAAAAAGCTAGTTTTATCCTATCATAATTGAAAATTGCCATTAGTATGCATTAGATGTAGAGGAAGCTTGGTTTGACCTGAACAACAAGTTCATATGCACTTTTATTTGTTAAATTGTAACAAAAGTTTTCAAACAAAAACAGAAGTGGGACATTCTCCGCAAACGCTCACCAACCTGGTCACGAAATCCAATGAACTTGTAGTATAATCCGTCTTTAATCCGAACACCAAGTTGGTTAGTCCTTGGGACCTTCATCCATGTCGCCCCAACAATGTCAGCTTTATCAACCTCAACTACTTTACCACCTCCCTGTTTTTTCCATGAAATCCCTCCAGAATATATTTTTAGCTGCCCCGGATTCTGCATTCCACATATGACACAATGAGGAACAATACAATGCTCAAACTTATAAATTTCCACTTACTGCATAACTTACAGATGAATCTAGAATTTTTATAAAATAATGCACATATCAAAACTTTGCAATGAAATGATAACGTGAGCTTATAGCTTTACAAATTCTTAAAACCTTTTGCGACTATTTCTCAGAAACAAATAAAATATGAAAACTCCAGCAATGTGTACTTCCATGAAATGCAACGACTTAGGGTTTTTTAAGCCACAGAATTGACACATTCATCCTGTCACTCCTTTCCTCCCGCAATTAAAAAGACATCAAGAAATATGAACAAAAAGAAAAGGAGAAAATTTATCAAAAAATAACCAAAGACACTGGAAAACATCTTCTTAAACGAATTAGAGATTTATAAGATGGACAAAGAGAGAGAGAGAGAGAGTAGCCTATGTCATTACGTTCCAGGTTTCACTGTCTGCAACGAATTCAAAACTTCAACATGGGAAACTCTTAATATAAAGTAAGAAACTTCTATCGAACACAATGGAACTAGGGTTTTACACCGAAGAAAAAAACCCAATTTCCCTATCCCCAACCGTATCATTTTCGCTCTGACCAAAATTGAAAAATCACAATTTTCTCGGCAACCAAACTACAAAAAAATCACAGACAACTCCAGGAAAGAACAAATTAGGGTTTCAAGGCGACCAACCGAAAGAATACACAGCTATCAGAACCCACAAATTCGCATTTCTACACCAAATTTTGACCGAACTAAAGTGACCGAAACCACAGACATTAAAAAATATATGTATGGAGAACCCAGGTTTCATTCAAATAGCATTGAGAAAACTCAAAATAAATATAAATCGAAAAACGAATCCCCAAAAAGAGTCATCAGACTGAGTAGAAGGAGAGAGACTCACAGTGCCTCCACGGCCTCCAAGAGAGATATTGTTGAAGAGGTGGCCGTCCGTCATGGTTCGCAACCTAGGGATCAAATCCAACTGTGAAGATAGCTGAGAGCATGAAAGTCGAAAACCAGTGAAAGAAGAAGAGAGTGTGTGTGCGCATTTGCGAACGAGAGGCTGAAGGGGGTGTTATATAGTTGAAGTGGCGGTGCGCAATGCGCACCACGCCCAATGCGCGCCAATTGAGAAGCAATATGGGTGTTACGGTGTCGTTTTGAAACCGAAGGAAGCCCAATTCAAATTAATAATTGGGTTGGACCGGTTGATCCCGATTACAACTCACAAGCCCGTTTCGTTTGTATGGATCTGATTTCAGTTTGAGTCCAAATCTATTCGGGTTCAGGTTAATACCACTTTGGACCAAAGGACAAAAACAGAAACACGTAAGCATGTGATTCCCATTGAAGATAAAGAGAGAAAGGGTTAATGACATAAATGGTCCCCCAACTATCGCGCAATTATCATTTTGGTCCTTCAACTAAAATTTTCAATTCAAACGTCTTTAAACTTTTTATAATGTACCAAAATCATCCTTCCGTCAAAATCTGTGTATTATTCCGTTAAATTAAGGTAGTGTATTAGTGGTGAGTAATTAGCTTTATCTGGAGATATGATAGTATATGTTTAGTGGATAATGAGTAGGCATGTTTGGTGGAAGCTATGATAACTCTTTAATTTCATTTGCCTCCAAATGTTTGGGATATGGATGATGATGATGATGGTGACGAGGACAAAGGAAGGTATGGCAAATATTAAGAGTACTGGTGCAAGAGGATTCGAACCAATGACCTCCAATACCCAATAAGGGGTCCTTACCACTAGAGCAAGTTGTGTTCTTTTGTAATCTAGGTACGTTTAAGGACGTTTGAATTGAAAATTTTAGTTAGTGGACAAAAATGATAATTTCACGATAGTTGGGGGACCATTTAGGTCATTAACTCAAGAGAGAAATGTTGTTAAAATGGGATCAAAATTTTATAATAACATATGCAAACGGTTGAGGATCTAGGTTTTGTACATTTTTAGTGCAACTTTATGTTTATAACTTTAAATTTTTTTTTTTTTTTTTTGCAAAGGAGCCACCGGATACTATTGTGGTGGTTTAGAGCAATTGCTCCCCCATAAAGGCTCATGAGTTCGGATCCTAGCATTTATATAGTGTGTGAGAGTTTAGTATACTATCGCTCCTCTCAATAAGAAAAGTCTTTAACCGGAAAAAAAAAAAAAAAAAAAAAGAGGTTATTTTTGAATTTCTAGCCAAGCTATATAGTTCATGTGGCAGCAATGAGCAAACTATATCTGAACTGTAATGTCTCCAGACTCCGAAATCCCAACAAAATTCCATTAGAAACAAACTCATGATCAAAATGGCATCATCCATTTCACCGCTGTTTGTAATAACAAGTTGAGCGTATCCCACATCGGAGATGAAAGCTTTCGAAGGGTTCCGAAAGCTCAAATCTGGACTGGTTTTTGAGTTGGGAAGAGGAGAGGAAGTTTCGACAGCGAAGTATTGGTTTTGGTTCTGTTTTTTAAACTGGTGCAATTTAACAAGTACATGACCGTCCATATGCGCCACATATCCCCATCAGCTGTAATATTCTAAGAAAAATAATTTTGTTTTTTCAAGAATATTATCAAAGCATCTGCTTTCTAGAAAACACCGTCGTCTATACGTATGGGGAACAAAATTCATATCAGCTTCAGAAAAAGCGCACACAACCCACAAGCATCAGAATCTGAATATATTTAAATACTCGGCATAAACAGTCCAAACTCTCCGATGACCCCTATGGGATTTTGAAAGCACCACCAGCCCCAACTGTTCAACAAAAAAAAAAAAACCATTATTTCTTCTTCCATTTTTTTATTCATGCAGACAAACAAATGCAAGGGCATTCTCGAGTGTTCTTGCACATAAAAGATAAACATGGTTTGTTAATTTGCAGGAAACTAGCAGCTGGTCGGTATCAAGGACCAGAGTCAGAACACGGCATTCATTTCTTGTCTTTTGTGTTTGTTGGGCTTCGGTCACCTTCATGCCAGCTGCAGGAAATATGTTCTGCATGGATGAAGGTTTTTCACCTTTCAATCTTAACTTGTAGAAGAAGAGTTTCTTCATATAAATCTTTGATCTTTGAACTAATAATACAGAAGAAATAGGGAGATTCAAATTGGCAATTAAATATGAACTATGGGATTTGCTTTTGGTGTTTGTAAATTACTACAAGAATTAAAACTGGCATAAAAGTCATTGCACATGTTATTCACTGGCATGCAGCAGCAGCAGCACCAAACCGGCCATATGAGCAAGTCCAAAACCACATGGAACCATAAGACTTTTGGATCTTTGGGGTTACCAAACACAGTACGGACATTGAAATTGAAATTTGTTTCGAATGCTCCGATATCATCGTCACCTTGTTTTCTAATATAATACACTTGTGGCAACAGAAAACAAAACAGCATAAATCCAAAACAAGCACACAAGTTATATATATGCTCCAAACCATCCTTCCTTCCAGTTCAAGCAACCACAGGAACAACAACCACAGATTAAAAGAAAGAAGAGGAAAACAAGAATCCGAGGAATTGTTATAAGAGATGGAGCTGATGATGGTGAAGAATGAAGAGAACCCTGGGAGGCGTCGCCTGAGCACAGCAGATCGTGAGACTGAGGCAACCCGGTCTGTCAAGAGAAGGAGAAGAGACCCACCTGCAGTTGCAGTTAGTTGTGACAACAACCAGAGTGAGCAGCAGTTGCCGCAAAAGCCAGCTGATCCAACCTCAGCTACCACAATGAAGAGAAGTTCAAGATTTCGCGGTGTCAGCAGGTTTGAACATATACACAAAATTCAATGGTTTTCTGATTGTTTAAGGCAGAACTTCCTTCTTCTTTCATGTGTAGAAATATTAACATAAATTGTTTGTTAACAGGCATAGATGGACCGGTCGATTTGAAGCCCACTTGTGGGATAAGCTCTCTTGGAATGTAACACAGAAGAAGAAAGGGAAACAAGGTAAATATTGATTTTTGCATTTCTTTCACTCTGTTAAATCATCTATTGCTTTTCCTCCTGGATACTGATATATGGTTCCTTGTGTTGTGTTCTATTGTGTTGTGCTTTGGAATGGATTATTGGGACTGAACAGTTTATCTTGGTGAGTATATGCTGCTACATGGTTGAGTTTGTTCAGTTTGAGTCTTAGAACTTACTGCTAATTCTGTGAGTGAAGCATATTAATCTTTTTATTCTTTGTTTCTCAGGAGCTTATGATGAAGAAGAATCTGCTGCAAGAGCATATGATTTAGCTGCACTTAAGTATTGGGGAACGTCGACGTTCACCAACTTTCCGGTATGAATATGATCACTGATCAGCTACAACATGTAAATATGGAGTTTAGCATTAGAGAAAGAAAAAACGAAAAATTTATGATCTCACACCTTGATGTTGTTTACAGATATCGGACTATGAGAAAGAAATTGAGATCATGCAATCTGTGTCAAAAGAAGAGTATTTGGCCTCGTTAAGAAGGTAGGACTTCGAAGTTCGAACATCTCTTTTTGTGGAAAGACTTCTGCACTGATGAATTTCCTTGACCAATTTCCTGAAAGAATTATTTATTTCTTTGTTTCAGAAAGAGCAGTGGCTTTTCAAGAGGTGTATCTAAGTACAGATGAGTGGCAAGGTAATATTCTGATTAATATTTGGTGATCAAATCAAATCAATTTCTTTGAAAAAACTGCAAATGGAAAAACAGTGTCTAAAGATTATTTGGTTCATATATTGCAGGCACCATCATAATGGTAGATGGGAAGCGAGAATAGGAAGAGTTTTCGGAAACAAGTACCTCTACCTAGGCACTTACAGTAAGTTATCTCTGATCTCCTATCTCCATAACTGATTATAACACTATCCAAAAACTAGCTGCAATATAAACTGTCATAAAAGAGAGAGTTGAAAACTATAATGAAGAGAATTTGCACTTACCGAACAATGTGTCTTTTTAATCTCATTTCAGGCACCCAAGAAGAAGCAGCTCGTGCCTATGACGTTGCAGCAATTGAGTACAGAGGGATCAATGCTGTGACTAACTTTGACTTGAGTTCTTACATAAGATGGCTAAAGCCAACAGCAGACGATCCAATAGCCACTCAAGAACCAGAGACAGTCGCAGAGCCTCAGAATATGCCATTCATGGCCAACAGCTACATCCCAACAGAGGAGTCTTTCTCACACACAAATCCTTTTGCCTCTGATTACTTCAACTCCCCCCGAAAACAAGAAGTCATCGGTATTAACATCCCTCTTAACACCGGTAGCAAGTCATCATCTCCCACTGCGCTTGGCCTCCTCCTTCAATCATCAATATTCAGAGAGTTGGTTCAGAAGAACTCGAACTTCTCGGAGGATGAGAGTACTGACGGAGAAGAAACAAAGAACCAGCCACAGGTTGGTAGTGATGATGAGTTCGGTGGAATTTTCTATGATGGAATTGGCAACAACCCGTTTGCTTGCTCTTCCAATTCTGATGGATATAACAACCCATGGAGCAGCATTACAAGCACCATTTTGCTCAATCAACCAACAAAAGCAAATGCCTCAGACTCTCTATTTTTCTTTTCTTAGATGCATCATGGGAAACAGAACTTTGTCATGTGGAAGAAATTTTGTTTCACTTTGTAAATAACAGAATTGGCACATCAAAAAAGTACATAGCGTGATGAGATTGATGCTGCATATCGATGTAAATTAAATCATGTCCATTGGGCAAGAATAAAAATAGATTTTATTTATAAGAAATAATACGGGTTCAACCATAAATACAAAATTTAAAAATAGGGATCCACCAACATTTTATAGATGAAAGGCTAAGATTATTCGTATTTTTTCTCATTCCGTATTTTACTAACTATGAATGAATGTGAGAGGCTAAGATTATTTCTTATTTGTTGTAACAAAAATGCATGATGGTGATTTGGTAATATATTTTCTGTTGGGTGAAAAAGGTGTATGCAAATCTTTTGAGCTTGAGGCTTGTGAATGAAGCCCATCGTTTTGGGCCTTTGGAGTTAATAATACAAGCCAAA